GGACAGACATCTTGACCTTATAATTTCTTTTGCTAGAGGGATTTCCAGTGCATTTCTCTTGCATAGGACTAGAAAATTTCTTTGCCTGGAATGGCTTTTATATTTAATTTCATGCAATAACCTGGTTCAGCTATCTACTCCATTGGTCACACAAGTCAAAGAATGAGAGATGTGACTTCCATGTATCACATTGTTCTATGCATATATATATATACAGGATCATTGACAGAAATAATACTCCATAACAAATCAGACTAGGGTAGTGAGTGTCCTCCTATTCCAAAAAAAAAAAAAAAAAAGTCTGTCCAGAAGATAACCTTTATTTAAATTTAAAGACCTATATAGTATAGTGATTAGAAAATTAGACTTAAGGAGATCTAGTTTCAAAAGCCTGTTCAAACTGAAAGGCTGCCTTTGCATGGTAGACTCAATTATAAACCTTATTCAGTGAATGTGCATTATTTTACTACTTAGTTGTGGTTTACTTAACAATTATTTGAAGTAGCCACAATCAGCCAGGACCAATATTTGAAACTATGGACATAGTGGATAGGTCATTGTGACTAGAAAAACAGAACACATTAAACCAAGACCAACAAATTACACTGCAGTGCAGTACAATGTGTAAGCCAAGCTGACCTGGCTAGTAAGTACTTTATATGGCTCACATAGCATGATACTGTACTGTACTGTATGTACTCCAGTCCAGTATGTGGTTGGTAAATGATGGCTTATGTATTAACAAAATGTGTAAACTTGACTATATCTTAGCATGATGTGTGAGCCCACTTAGAGGACAGCAAAGAAGGTGAGAACTAGCTGCTTATATGCAGGTTATAAACTTGGCCTAGAGAACCCTTTTACTGTAATCTATAGAGCACAATTTTCAAATTACAAGAATCTTAAACCAGTGTTATTCATATAGTAATCATTTTAGTATTGGTTTTAAAACTGAAATCTTATTCTGCATGTATCATCAGGTTTCTTCAGAAGGAGTATCACTAAAAATGCTGAATACAAGTGTAAAAATGGAGGAAACTGTGAGATGGACATGTATATGAGGAGAAAGTGTCAGAAGTGCCGTCTACAAAAGTGCAAGGCAGCAGGAATGCTGGCTGAGTGTAAGTGTGCAGCTGTTTTCATTGACTATTCGTTTTAACTGAAAAATCACTGTAGTTTGCTTTTATAGTAGAGGGGCTATGGGCCATTAGGAAAAGCTAATATGGTCTTTGAATTTACCATTTAGAAAAAAAAGTGAAGATCAGTTCCAAATCTCCCACTGCTGGTATTGTACTTAACTAACAGGAGACTTATAACTGTACTTTATTAAAATTTACTTTCCTGGCATGCGTTGTGTTTTGTAAATATGCAAGGATGGATTAAAGCTGTTTGGTGTTCCCTATTGACGGCTTCAGTTATTTTAGCATAATTGTAGCATCACACCAGTTTAAGCTCATACCGGAAATTAATCTACTCTGAATTTTTAATATACTTCTATCCTCCAATCTGATCACAAGATGCTATATCAATTCTTAGGCTTTGTAGAAAACAATAGGATCTATTAGCATTTGGAATTAATGAAAAAAAATATAATATAATTAATTCTTCATTCTGTAAATTTAACAGACAGCGAAGATCTTGCTATATGCCCTCTTTGCCCTCAGTGCCCAAGCACGCAAACAAATCATGCTGCCACAGTGGTCAGACCCCTCAATGAATCTGTAAGCTTGCCATAAAAACAAACCTTCTTAAAATTAAATTCAAAGGGAGAGTGTAAGTATTTTCAGGACTACCAGTAATTTAGTGTCTAATAAAATAAAATAAAAAAATAGGTCAGTGTAACCAATGCTGCTCAAGGAAATGGAAACTTTTAAAACAGCTGATCATTTTCTCAGATAGTCCTGAGTGAAGCAAAGGCCAACAATAGGTACTGTGACTTAAATCTTCCTCTGCAATGGAAACTTGTACTTTGTTACTATGAGAGTCATATAACTCATAACTTAAACATAAGCATGTTCTTGTAAAGGACAGGAATGAGGACATCATGCTGGTTGTAACTACCTTCAAATAAGGAGTGGTACTGCTCATTTTTAATTTAAAAACAACCTTCAAGGTTTGTCAGAGTACTTAAGCTTGTAACTTTTTCTGTAAGTTGACTTTAAGCAAAATGATCTCTTTGAAATTAAGATTGCCTTGGACTTTGAGTCTTTACTCATAAGACAGGGCTGCAATTATTCCTGTAAAAGGTTGCTATACTGCAAAAAATAAAAAGGCAATCTTATGGGTTTTTATGACTTTATTTGTGTATTCCTGAATCACCATGATCCAGTGATATGCACTCATGTTTTTGTGTGGTTATAAAATACAGTCTTTCAACAGAAACTAATTCAAGAAGTAGATTTTGAAAATGACCCTCACTCAAATCTGGTTCACACTTTGCTGGAAAGACAAGCTTGTCATTGGAAATAATTCTGAAATTTTGTTAAGTAGCTTAGAAGGGCGCATGGCTGAAAATTTACAGAAACTGTCAAACGAATACAATAAAACCGTTTGTCAGACATTTGCTGTTCTGAAGACCACAGCAATGTTATTTAGGAAAGGAGACATCCGTCTGAATGCATGAAATAAGCAATCTGGCCCTGTGTTTATGTATACCATGTGTTTTCTGATTCATGGATATATGGAAACGTCTTTTTCCTCTAGCATATGAAGCAGCTGTCACCCTTGGGCAGTATTCATTATTTGTATGATGTAAAAATTACCAACATCCACACAACCATGAGTTCAATTTTTCTCATTCTGGTGATTTAAAGTTTAATGTGATTTACATTAAACACATCTGGAGAATACCAGTTTGGGAAAGGCATAGTACTGAAATAACCAAAGTCAGCACTAACCCTAGTGCCGGCGTCATGATCATAAATGCCATTTTAATCTTTTGAGATATTATGTGGAATTGTTATTTTAATTCCTTAAATTTCCTCTTCTTTCAGTAATAGAGGAAGTTTGATTTCTATGGTGCATGATTTTATAATATACAGGATATTAAAACTATTCATTGCTGAATTAAGCATTTTCATAGATATCTTCCTCAACAATATTTAGTCTCTGTTCATCCTCAGAAGTAGGGCCCTTTCAGGTGAAATACACACACACACACACACAAAAGTATTCCATTTGTTACGATTGCTATGGCCCTGCATCATCATTTGCCTATTCTTGGACAACAATATTTTATCTTCTTAAACTGATATAGTAAAATTGAAGAAATGAATAAGGCTTTATACTTGTTAATATTCTGAGCAGAAAACATGTTGATCAAAGTTGACTATGTTCCTTTGAACAATTATGATGGAGGGAAGGAATGGCACAGATCCAGCTTTGGCTTACAAGATTTTTTATGCACACTATACATCAACAACTTTACAAATTTATTAAGCATCACAACGTTTCAGGTATTAATAGAACAGATAATCTGCTGAAATAATTTCAGTAAGTAAATAGCTCCTCACTTTTTTTTTGAGAATGTGTTTCTGGAATTGGCTAAGTTTGAATGTAATATGTAGAATGAGCTCTTGATTTCCAAACTGTGTCTATGTGTCATGGGAAGAAATACCTCTGGGAGACCAGATTTGCCTTCCTCCCCACAATCTCCCCCATGGAGGCACAGGTTATCCAGGGAGAAGGAGAGCCCCATTGTGCAGGAAATTAGTTAAATTAGCTAAAAGTTCTCCTCCCCTTTTTTCTCAGGGTGATGGGAAGGGTCAACCAGCAGCCTTTGTGGACGCAATATGACAATTACACAGCATGGATCCTGGTTGCCAACCTGTGTAGGAGTAGATGTAGTTGCCACCCACTCCTGGACAAGGTTACTTGAGCATGTAAAATAATAAAAAAAATAATGCTATAGGAGATCTTAATTGCATGTGAACATTTGTTTGTTGCTGTTTGGGACCAACATGTATAAGTGTCAGTTGTGAAAATTGTAAGTATTCATTTTCAGGTTTGTTAACTGAAATACAATGCAAGTCAAAACGACTAAGAAAAAGTACATTACAGCCTGTAGATGAGACAACTAGTGAAGATCCCAAGGGACTAGACCTGAAGCAAGTATCATCTACAACTAAATTCTATAAGGTAATAAAGTTACTGTAGCATCTTATCAATTCTATAGTATGATACAACTAATAAGTATGGAAGACTGAATGAGAATTCTCACATAAATAACTTCTGCTCCTCTATAGAAAGTTGGAATGAAGCATATAACTATAAAAATATAATTTAGGTTTTATTTATATTATGTACAAGAATTTCATTGATGGCCTTCAGAGTATGCCAATTTATACTATGATATCAGTTTCAGTGTGGTTTGTGATCAAGATGAATTCATGCTCTGCCAAAATATCATTTATTTAGTTGTGGCTTAGCTCATGGTATAGAGCCAGCCAATTGTGATTTATTCAGTAAACCAATGATTAAGCAAATCATGGCTTAGCATGGTGTGTGAACCAACTACAGTACTGGTACAATAATACATGTGGATAGAGAGCCAATTTAGTGTAGGGGTTAAGGCACCAGACTAGAAACTGGGAAACCATGCCTTAGGCAGAAAGCCAGCCGGGTGACCTTGGGCCAGTCACTTTCTCTCAGCCTTAGGAAGGAGGCAAGGGCAAACCACTTCTGAAATCTTGCCAAGAAACTTCAGGGACTAGCCCAGGCAGTCACCAGGAATCAGCCCTGACTTGAAGGCACCAAAAATAAATAAATAAATAAAAATATATGTGGTTAATATTTACCCATATGACAAGTTTTATCTTGGTTGTAATAGGGTTTCCCCATCGTATACATCTTGTTTGATATAGCATATGATCTTATTACTGTTTTGTGTTTTATATTTTGTATTCTGATATGGCCTAGTGGCTAATCAATGAAATATTACTACTATTACTAGTTTGATACCTTTGAATCCTTGCAAAATGTATTCATAACTAACTCATTATTTAAAAAGGTGCAGTTGTGATTTCATTTTGCATATATACAGGTAGTCCTCAAGCTACAGCCACTCATTTAATGACTGTTCAAAGTTATGATGGGGCTGAACGAGTGGTACTTATGACTGGTCCTCAAAGTTCTGGCTGTCACAGCACCCCTGCGGTTATATGATCGCGATCCAGGCATTTGGCAACTGGCTCATACGATAGTTGCAGCATCCCATGGCCACATGATCACCATTTGTGACATTCCCCGCTGGCTTCCCACAAGCAAAGGCAATGGGGAGGCCGGCAGGGAAGGTTGCAAGTCGCTCCCTTAAGTCGCTCCTGCTTTTTCTCCTGAGGAACCTCACTATGGAGTACAAGATCCCAACACTCCACCCGTTGCCCTCCATAGCCCCCACCAGTCTGTCTGCACTCCGTGCCTATCTGCAGCCTCCACTGACCCATCACCCGCCCATGGCCCCTGCTGACCTGTCTGAGCTCCATAGTGCCCACCCGTGGCACTCACCCACCCACGGCACCAGCACAGCCCTGCACTCTTTGCCTGGGACTCCAGCCTCTTCCCACTTAATGACTTGCATGGTCCTGGGATTACGACGGCAACAGGAACTGCTGGGATTGCCGTTGCTATGCAGCTTTACAACTGCATCACTTAGCGACGGAAATTCCAATCCCAATTGCCATCATAACCCGAGGACTACTTGTAATGTGAAAGTAATCAACTCTATCACTGAAATCAGGAAAGATGCTCAAATGTATGTAGTGGAACTTAAGTATGAAGCAGAAAATCATGCTCATTTATGGTTTATTTTTTGCTAGTGTAGGAGAAACTAAAATTAAGCTCGGAACAACAGAATCTTCTTCATTATATAATGGAATCCTATAATAAACAGCGGATTCCTCCGGAGGTTACCAAAAAGCTTGTAAGTATATAATTTCATACGAAATACCCCCAAGCTTTGCAGAATCTATTATTTTATAATGTAAGTTTTTCCAGAAGGGTTTTTAAATAGATATTGCAGACATTGACACAAGTCTGCTCTCCAAATGCAGACAGGGAAATGAGGAGACTCTGCGTGGTACGAGAGAGTAGGGCGGTGCAGGTTCCTTCTCTTTTCCCCCCCTACTTATTATTTTGCATTGTGACTTTATGAGCTCCCTGCCCTAAGACTCTAGTTGTGGGCACTGCCTTCTCTCCAGTCACGAGCTGAGCAAGTGACTGGGAACACTTTGGGAATCTCTATGCAGACATGTAAAACTCAAGTGCCTCTTTTAGGTGTACAGCCTATCACAAGCATACATATGACGTAAAAAAGAAAAGAATTCTGATTGCCAATCTTTTCCTCATATATGAGGACACTACACATTAGGTCAGTTCGAGAGCACTAATTAAATTATGAGGCATATGGTAATCACACAGCTTTCCAGGTACAAAACAACATAATACTTGATATAAAACTAGAATCTCTTATCTACCATTACATGTTAAGAAGTAATGTTGATTATGGTTCAGTTTCTCCACTCAAAAACTTGAGCTTTCTTTGTATAGAGCAGGGTTTCTCAACCTTGGGAACTTCAAGATGTGTGGACTTCAACTCCCGGAATTCCGGGAGTTGAAGTCCACACACCTTGAAGTTCCCAAGGTTGAGAAACACTGGTATAGAGTACAAGAATAATCTGTCATTGCAGCCTTCAATGAGAAAGCTTTAAATACTAACTTACATGGGTTGATACAGTTTCTCAGTCTCATAATTAATAGCAACTTGTCTTCTTTTTGACAGGTTCATAATTACAGTATCACATATGTTTGGCTTTATAATATAAAGCATTCAGGCATCTCTTGACTGATACCAGATATATTGGTCATCCAATTAAGATATGCAGAAATTATGCATAACAGTTGTAAGGATGGCATAAGGGCTCATGCAGATGTTTAGAAATGCTAAATCAGCAACAAGATGGAAAGTTCTTTCTAAGCCTTTGATGAACTGGGACATCTGCACCCCTGGCTATTTTTTCAAAGTAACTGGAGAAGTTTATCATTATACTATTTGTCAATTCTAAGTAACAGATTACAAACTGTAATGGCTTGGTGCATACAACAAGGATTTCTGGCCTAGTTCAAAATAAGCATCTGTCAGTATTATGGATGTGATATTTTGTTTAATATTAGATTTATATCCCACTTTTATTTTGTACAATTCCAGGAAGCATACATAATACTCCCACTTCCTATTTTCCCCACAACAACAACCCTGTGAAGTGAGGTGGGCTGAGAGAGAGTGACTGGCCCAAAGTCACCCAGCAGCTTTCATGCCTAAGGCAGGACTAGACCTCACAGTCTCCCGGTTTCTAGTTGAACACCTTCACCACTATACCAAACTTGCTGCTGCTTGGCAGGTTAAAAGAAGCAAGATATTTTCCAGTCTTCAGATGTAACTGAATCTAAGTAGGAGTGCTGCCCAGGGCGCGTTTCGAAAAGTAACTCTTACATAACATCTATGGAAGTTTTAGTTGTTATTGTTATTAGTTGTTAGGTTATTGCTGTGAGAAAAACTGGAGGAAGGAGCATTGTAAATAAATAATGCTAATCTGATATCCGTGTTTCATTTATTTACTTGCTCACAACAGCAGAAGATCAACAAGAAAGCAGCCAACTTGCATACTACTGATGCACATTACAAGAAACTGGGGAAGCCAGAACGGCCAATGGGCAGGGACGATGGCTTTAAGACCACATCGGGAAGACCAAATATGCCCTCATAATATAATGTAGTGATCAATATTTTTGGCTTAAAGTAGTGTGCAAATGACACCAGTGAACAGCATGGGTTTCACCAGGTACAGCAGTTATATTGAAACTACTGTACCATACTGGGCTGCAAAATTCAGAGGGCCGCTGGGTGGCAACAGAGAGATAAAGAAAACTCTTAACAACTTGTCATTATTTGGGAGTCCTCTGAATTTTTGCAGTCTAGCTAAAGTGTTCTATTTATACTTGGTCTGGTCAAGCATCAATGAAGGCACCGAATTTGGATTCAGATCTCCTAACAAGCAGAGCAGAGAGTTTTCATTTGTTGTAGAAAAGCTGAACGTGCAACCACCTTTGTTCTCCATCTACAGAGTATAAGATTGTGAGACTTTGTAATTTGTATAAACGTATTTTAAATGCTATATTGTCTTCTCCATCTATTTCATTTTCTCTTATGTGGCCTAGAATAATCAGTTTTCTGTAACATTCATACTCTAAGAATTGTTCAGTTATTTGGTATTTAATCCTATAAATTTGCATTAGTTGTTAAAGAAAAAAATAGTAATTCATTTCTAGTATTCATATTTTATTACTACTATTATAATTCATGATAATTTTGTTTTGATTATCAGTTACAAGAGGAATTCAGCGCAGAAGAAAATTTTCTCATTTTAACAGAAATGGCCACTAGTCATGTTAAAGTCCTTGTGGAGTTCACTAAAAGATTACCAGGTAATGGGATGTTAAATAAGTTTGGTCAATTTCATCGATCTGTTTTTCAGTCAGAGAGATCTTTTTTTTCATTTTATATCCCTTTATATCTTCCTAATCTAATTAGTACTCAAGGTGGCTAAGAAAATATTTAAAAAATAAAAAAGTAAAAAGTAAAAGGCAATAATAATAATAATAATAATACATCATCAAACAACATCTGCCTATCCCAGGTCCTTGGGAAAGACTCAGTAGGTGGATGAAAATGCCAAATCCAGTCTAAACATCTGGCTGACTGTGTGACCAACCATAACAGTTAAAAATTAAACAGCTGATGAAAGATGCTTTATAGGGTTTATAAATACTGAGGGGGAGTATAAACTTCAGGATGACAATCCATCTTAAATTCAATTTGTTGTTTAGTCGTTAAGTCGTGTCCGACTCTTCGTGACCCCATGAACC